GTTGTAGGTGGATACAGACGTTTCGGAGGAACATAGTGTCTCCGTCTTCAGGGTCAGTGTGTGTGGGATCGAGATACTGTCAGATTAATATAGGTAGGTTACAAGGAAAATGGTCGTTCTGATTTACACATCTTCGCCCAAACCATCCACTGAGGATGGAGGCAACATGTTCCTCCGAAACGTTCATGTCCAAGTACAGTATTATGTGGTATTACAACCAAGACGACCGTAATCAGAACACTCATCAGATGTATCCACTCTTCACTGAGCGTCTCTGTTGAGTGGTTGGTAGTTCTGCTTTATGTTTGTGAGATCTCCGGTTCGAACCGTGGCCCGGGAATCGTTAGTTTTTTTTTAGTTTCTGCTCAGTCTCTTCGGACAAATACTGACGTAGTATCTCAAACCAGGAGCCTGCCACCTCCTTCCACACTCCTTTCCCTTCACCCTTCTGGCGTCATAAAATAGTGAACAGTCAGACCGCAGTTTTATTCATATGTCCCCCGTGCGTACTACGTGTTCTGCTTATCCCACGATTGGCCTGGTAATATGAGATGAAGAGCGGAAATTATGCCGCTTCTCGTTACATTATTTATGGCGCATTCTATAAAATGGGATCAGTTGAAATCTATAATAGCAGTGCGGAAGATCATAAGGGAAATGGTCATTAAGAAGTCCTTGACATAGATGGAATTATGTTGTTAACAGTAAATCGTACAGAAATAGTGTGGCAGGGAAGGAAATGGAATCAATTGGTTCATGCATGGGGCCGGATATTGTTTTTTTTTCTTATTCGTTTTTTTCCGTGATGATGGTCCTGAGAGTTAATATCAGTTGCTCAAGGAAAACCCTACAGTGCACAGTTACTAATTTAAATGATTAATGCTACTTGTATCACTGGGAAGACCAAGGCGTAGGTGGTTGGACAATATTAAAATGGATCTTAGAGAGATAGGATGGGATCGGATGGTATGGATTTGATTGATCTGGCTCAGGATATGGACCAGTGGAAGGCCCTTGTGAACACGGTAATGAACCTTCGGGTTCCATAAAATGCTGGGAAATTCTTGAGTAGCTGCAGATTTGGCTTCTCCTCAAGAAGGGCTCAGCTCCGTAAGTAAGTAAGTAAGTAAGTAAGTAATGCTACAAGCGGCCTCCGTAGTCTAGAGGTAACGTTCCCACCTCATGACTCGTGGTACGCGGGTTCAAATACCCGGCGGAGGTCGTCGAATTTTTAAGGGCGGAAAAATTCAGGGAACAAGTCCTCCGGGAGGGACTTTAAGCTGTGTGTCCCGTGTCGTAACTTTACGGCACGTAAAAGAACCTCATATCCCCAAAGGGGATCACTGAGCCAAATTCCAGGACGTTTCCCGCCCAACAATAGTCTCTAAGGCCTCTGATAGATGGGGGAAGCATTATAGACACCGCTAAGCAAGTGGCCGAACTCGCTTGCTCGGCGGGACTGATGGTACGCACCATTTATCGGTAGAATATAGAGACTGGTAGAATATCATAGAGGGAAGCACAATAGATCAAACTGGTCGCGATGCATGGGGAAACCCACTCTCTCTAAATAACTAACTAACTAACTAAGTAATGCTACTCGTATATGGGGATCCGGGATACTGCGAGATGGTGACTGGGCTACTAAGGGGGTCAAGAGATTTTCCTGTTCTCCGTAGCGTCCAATCCAGCCTCCTGTGAAATTGATACCTGTTACTCTGTTATCGAGGTAAAATGACGGAGTATGTGAAGCTGACGACTTATCTCCATCTAGAACAGAAGTTAAGGATGAGTGGAAATATACGTCCGCTCCCCCCATACGTCTTCATGACGTAGCTCTTAATTAAGCTTAAGGATAACTTCACTTTTGCCGTTTTCTAACATAGGTCACTTAAATACGTAACAAATTAGTGATACTGATGATGTGACATTTACTTCATTTTTAATGCACGCTTAAACCATCTGCTTAGCACTTACCGGTATCCAGGTGTTACCCGACGTCTGCTTGGCTTGTTTCTTATCACTGATGTGTCCCTTGCATCACTTGTATCTTTGTCTTATTCCTAATACGCCCAACTCTTGTTACCCCTTGCTGTTATGCAGAGTTATAAAGTTAAACGGTGTGTGTTTGCATTACGTGGATGTGTTTGTGAGTTATGTTTGTACAAGGGCCGCTCCATAGCTCAAGCGGTTAGTCGCTGGCTTCGGGTCTGGTCAAGTGGGATTTGTGGTCGACAAAGTGGCGCTGGGGCAGGTTTTCTCCGAGTACTTCAGTTTCCCCTGCCAATCTTCATTCCACCAATTGCTCCACAATCACCATCACCTATCATCTGGGGCTGGTACAAATAGGCCAGAAGTGGCCGCAGTGCAAGGGACTTAGTCCCACCCAACTAACAATAAAAAATGTTTGTACAATGGGTACACGTTTTCATCATTTTAGTTGTATGAGGATTGTTCAAATGAAACCCGTTAGTGTCGGGTATGCGTGACACAGGTCTCTACTCCTTCATTCAGAATAATCCCCAAATGAGTTCCATTCGAACAACCTTTGTGTATTAATCCTGTTTTATTCAAGCTTTTCTGTGAGAAGTATGTAAGAGATTGGTATTATTGTACATACATCTTCTTAACTGTTAACCATGGAAATGAGAGTTGTAAAATTTCATGTAAATATCTCTTGCATGTTATTGTATTACGTTCCCCCTTTTTTTATGAAGATTTAATGGTTGCAAACATGGTGCAAATGCAGAGCCGGTGATATGGAGTGATTATCTGGTGAGAGAAGTAAGACTTAACGATGCGAAAACACAATCCAGGATTAGCATATTGTTAAGTCAACCGTGCGGTAGCTTACTCACAGTACGTACTGTTGTTAATCATCTGCATAGCACAGGCGTGGCCCCTGGCTTGCTATCTTCCCGAACGGAGCAAAAGTAATGTACCTTCCACACCAAAACACAGCGATGTAATTGAAAAAAAAAAATATGTATATCCTCTCAGCTTCATTTCCGTGTACTTCATCGAGGTTTCGGAAACTTCTGCCATTAGCTGTAGTGCTGCAGGCATTGCAGATATTGGCAGGTTATGTCGGCCATGCTGCTAGGAAAGAGAAGGTGCGAGGATACCATTAAGATAGATCGTAAGAAAACAACTTGGAAGATGAAAGGTGGATGTAACTCTCTTATGATCGTGTCCAATGGTTTGATGATATGGAACTGTAAATATAAATTTTGCATTTCCTTATTGTGTAATTTTTTCCACCACGTGAGCAAGTGTCCCATTAAAATATGTTAACATTATATGAAGCAGTGTTTGTTCTATCCATTTTCTGCTGTGCCTGTCTTTCTATATCCGTATTCCCTTGTTTCTTTAAGGGAGGAACATAGACTGAGGGTGTTTGAGAACAGGGTGTTGAGAATATTTGGACCGAAGGAAGATGAAGTGACAGGAGGTTGGAGAAAACTGCATAATGAGGAGTTTCATAACTTGTACTCTTCGCCAAGTATAATTAGAATGATCAAGTCAAGGAGGATGAGGTAGGCAGGGCATGTAGCACGAATGAGGGATACGAGGAATGCATATTGCATACTGGTGGGAAAGCCAGAAGAAAAGAGCCCACCGGGAAGACCAAGGCATAGGTGGGTGGACAATATTAAACTGGATCTTAGAGAGATAGGATGGGATGGTATGGATTGGATTGGTGTGACTCAGGATAGGGACTAGTGGAGGGCTCTTGTGAGCATGGTAATGAACCTTCGGGTTGCATAAAATGCTGAGAAATTCTTGAGTAGCTGCAGATTTGGCTTCGCCTCAAGAAGGGCTCAGCTCCATAAGTAAGTAAATATTCCCTTGTTTCTATGTGACTCTCTCTTCTACCCACCCATTGCTCTTCCTCCTATCCGAAATTGATCACACTAGCATATGCTGTGTAGATTTGTCACCATGTGTTACACTTACACTGCCATTAACGAGTATAGCTGTTATATGGGTGAAATTCCATGCCGTATTACTGTTCGTTACATGGAACTGAGTAGTGGACTGAAAGCCTGATTACCATTCTGGATATGTCATTGAAGACAAAGGTACCAGTGACCTCAGCAGGCCTACCAGTGTCTAGTTGTTCACTTAACTGATCCCTCATATTTTATGTATTTTGTAAATAAAAGAAATACTCTTATATTTAATCACCTACGATGCTGTTAAAATCCACCATGTTCTGACCACAGCACAGCACCCGTACGGGCTCTGAAGACCCCTCAGCAGTCTATAAGCAGTGCGTACCTAGGGCTGTTTCCCTTTAGAGAAAGTGACTGTGGCATGAGGTGGACCACTCACCACCACGTAGTGCGCAAGTCAAGAATACGTGGAGCTTTACATCTGTTCCTCCTTACGTCTTTATTGAATGCTGATTATGCACGGGGACTTTTATTACTTTCATTCAGTGTCGCGGTCACGTGGTTAACGCCCCTGTCTCGTACTTGAAGGGTTATGGGTATAAATCTTGGTCTAGAGACCAGCCATTCTGACTGAGGTTGTACTTGGTTCTTCCTCCGTCATTTTAGGGAAGTTGCGAAGCAGTGTCACAAATTAGGCCACAACCACTCATCTCAAGCCCCTTTAAAATTTACCGTTCTCTAATCGCCATAACCTCTGACGTTGTATAATCTTAGCAGTTGAAAGTAAAGCACTACGCCTTGAAGGCGTATGGGCGAGTGCATGTATAGATCCACATTTTCTTTACCTAGGCTGACTAGCTGGAGGTGATTTGTCAGCTTCACGGCCCGGCCGCTTTACCCCCGGGGAGAGAGCCCTCGGTACCCATTGGGTAGGAGGTTGGGTGGACCCCATAGCCGGTCTGGACGACATGGAGAAAAGAAACTTCTTGACCCCTTGGTCGTCGAGCCAGTAGCCAGTCGCAATACCGACTGAGCTATCCCTACTTCTGTCATGAGAATATACATATACATATCGAATGTTTGGGTGTGTTGATGATGTTGCAGCACTCGATGCTCTACTTCTTCCACCATTACGAGTTGCCAGTGATACTTCAGCAGGCTCAGCTGCAGCAGCTGCTCCTACGAAACCAGCATCAACAGCAAGCTGCCGCTGCCGCTGCTGCTGCCGCCGCCGCAGCCGCCGCCGCTGCAAGTGCTGGGGCTTCCCAACAGGCACCAGAAGTTCCATTGCAGCGGTCAAGTCCCGAGGAAGCCAGCAGCACTGTCAATTCATCTCCATCTCCTGGTAATGAGGAGAGCAGTCTGCAACCCTCATCGACGCCGCTGGCGTCTCCAGATGCGGCAACGTATGTGGTTGGTGATAGCTTCACCACTGTTGATGAGCCAGGCCCATCATCTGCCTCACCTCTCCATGTTACTCCAGTGAATTCTGTGTCTGTTGACAGTGGAGGCGAAGCGCCAATCTCTTCCTCTTCCTCTTCCTCCGGAGTTGTGGCCAATAAACGTGCGGCGCTGACTGAAATGAATGCTGGTGATAATGATATTGTAAAGATATCGAGTGATTCTATGCCTATGGCAGAACAAGAAGGAAAAGAGGTAAAGGTTACACCTACCACTAGTCTTGACACCCAGTGATAGAGCAACAACCTTAGGTTGAAAATTTATGTTGTCCTTACAATGGAGAGGTACTTTAATATGGGACAAAAACAAGTGACTACAAGTGTCCCCTTCCAAACCGTGCATATGTTGTTCCCTGTCTGTATGCGTGATCAGGTGGAGATGCTGGTACAGCCGATGTGATTTGTGTGCCTGTTACGTGATAGAGAGTTATTACAAGTGAAGTATAAACGTTTAAAATTCTATTTTGTACAAAGTAATTATCCCACAAAGGTATCAGCTCACGTAGTGGATTTACGTTTGTGATGTTTCAAGTGACCAAGCTTGGCTGGTTACAGTAGAACGTACTCGTAATATAATATAATAATGTAAAAGAATAACTGTATTTGAAGATGTAACTTACATAGTTTGACACTTACATTGCCCGTCTCTGTTCGGTTGTCTAAACAGAAGTACCTTGAATAGTGACTTTTTAAATTAAGTTACTTATAAAATTCCAGAGTAGTTTTTTTTTTAGTTACTGTTTCGGTTGATATTAACGTGACTCATTTGGGATGTTTGGTTTGTACAAAGTGTATTATTTTAATGTGTATGATAAACTTGTAAGAATCGTGTGGAACATTGTTTGGGACTTCATGCTGTAGGCCCCTAATGCAAGGTCATTATCATGTATCTCGTTCCTATATGAAGATGGGTGTGAATGTTGGTGCATTCACGAATAGGAAACACAGTGCCCCATACCATCACGGTTGCAGTCATGTATGTAGCTTTCACCCACAAAATGAAATTAAAGCGTTTAGTTGCTGTCATATGAAATTATTCTTTAATATTCTAATGTAATCAACAAATCACATTGAGGTTTTAATCATGTATATCGGTAATACTGTCATTGCTGTCGAAATAGATTGATTGGTACAATTTCTAGGGATAATATACAAATTGGCAATAAGGTGGAATGGGGTAGAAGGAAAACATGTTTCTGGGACAAATTGGTCACAAAATTCTCATCACGTAGTTGTTCAGAGAATATCCGTGGTGTGTATAGTGCCAGTTATCGGTTTAAGGATTTTGTTTTTGCCAGTTGAACGAAGTCATCCTGTCATTGGATCTTCATCTGAACTAGGAATGAAGTCCTGAAATTATGGGTAAACATCAGTTGTCCAGGTCTGTCCCAACACAGGCGAACATAAAACATTAGTTATTGTACATAGAGACAGAATAATGTTTGTACACAGTATAAACATTTGTTAAAATTTAATTTATCAGAAATAGTTGGGAGAACATTTCGAACACCTGCTATGGCCATGTATGGTAGTGTCTTTAAATAATTTGTAATGTAAATATAAATTCCAGTGACTGAGTGATATGTAGATTAATATAAAAAGTATGGCTGCAGAACTCATATAATTAAAACTCTAAAATATTTCCCGGTATACAAATTGAAGAGGCAGAAAATTTGTGGCTTTGTACAGACTATGAGATGAAATTCAGTATGTATTCATATGGAAGAATGCTGTATAAATAGTACAGGAAGTCAGATGCATTTATGTTCTCTGGATGTAGTTACTGTGTAGACATGGAGTTAGAAACAATTTGTCGTTGGTCTGCAAAGTTTTCATGAGGCTTCTCTCTTGGCCCTGATGAAGGAGTCGGGGAGTGTCAGCAGCATTAACTGTATAAGGGTCGGGCAGTCCATCTTGAGTGAAAGAAAAATGGAAGTAGTCAATTGTGGTTGTGCCTTCATTGCTACAATTTTAAAATTAATAACAGAGACCAACAACTTTTCAAATTTCTTTGATAACATAATACAAAACAAGCCCCTTTTATGTATGCCGGTCACAAAAATTGACAGACAAAGAAGCTGTAACATCCTCGTCATTTTTTGTTCTGCATTCTTTTTGTATTCAAGACACAAATGTACATGCCGCTTATTACACTCTTTGAAATGATGAAATTTAAATGAAAATAAACGCTTATTCACTAGAAAATGTAATTTTATCACATTGCTGTCTTTCAAATTTTAAGGAACACCAAGAAAAAAATACAAAACTTAAAATATACTTGGTTTTGACTAAAGATTCAGTATAGCAAAGTTGTGACTTATGAAAAAATTCGCGTCCAGTTTTGTAACCAGCATTTCAGAATCAATTTAAGAAGTAAGTTTCCTATCATGACTAGTATAATATTTTACTTTTTCTGTGTCAGTTCAGTACCAAAATTGCTCATTTCAAGAATATGCTTTCTTGATATTAAGTGTCAGAGAAAACTGCCAGTTTCTTAAAAAAAAAGGTTTGAACAAACTTTGTTACGAATGTGAAGACAAAGCGGAGTTCCTGTCATTGCATCAAACATATTTCAAAGACACTGCAGATATGTACAGGTCTGGAATAGAACCCGCTTGTCTGCAGTGAGAGGCAAGCAGCAAATCATCCATACTATAGCTAGGTTTCTTCATGTAAGTTATACCTGATTAGGCTTACAGTAATTTGTCCATTTTAAATTCTTTGCAATGTTTACAGTACTTCAGTACTGTGCTTCATTTAACCCGTCGGAGAGGCATTTGTACAAATATTCGATTGCGTGGCTTCCAATGAGAAAGATCTCACGTCTGCTGGAGAGAGCTTGACTTTTTCACGTAGGCTTTGGCTGGCAAGTGATATGAAATGTCTGAATTTGAAGGTTTGGAGGCCTTATTTTTGTGTTTTTTTACACTGAACATACGGGAAACAAAAACTGAATTATATTTACTTTTGTAAGTTTAAGTTGAAGATCAACGTAACATTGAATCTTTTTTTCCTTTCGCGTTACATCCCTCATTTGGGCCTAGGCCTATCTCCATGAAACTCTTCGTTTAACTTTGGTTTGCTAGATCTTACACATTCGGTAGGACTCCTTGGGCGGGTGATCAGCTCGCTACAAGGCCTCTACCTGTACACATCATCATCAGTAATCTTTCAGACGACAGGTCTACAGTCTCTTCCAAAACAGTTCCTCCACTTAATGCGATCTAGAGCTTTCTCCTTCAAATGAGAGTATCCTCTTCTGTCCCCAAGGTCATCCAGCATCTTCTTACGTCTTCTTCCTCGTCTTCTTGTCACTTCTATCCGCCCCTCTATCTTTCCTTCAATAACTTCGTTTAGAAGGCAGTTTCTGCGTAAAACATGACCAATCCAATTAGCCTTCCGTTTTCTTATTTCGTGTAGGATATTCCTCTGCTCACTGACTCTAATTAACACTTCTTTTCTCACATAATCGGCCCAACTGATCTTCTCCATCCTTCTCCAACACCACATTTCGAAGCTTTCCAGGTGTTTCTTATCTACTGCCCTAAGTGTCCATGTTTCAGCCCCATACAGAGCTATGCTCCAAATGTAGCGTTTCACTAGTTTCTTCCTCAAATTTAAGTCCAATTTGCTGGTAAAAAGATACTTCTTCTTGCTAAATGCAGCTTTTGCCATGGCAATCCTGGATTTAATTTCACTAGTACACCTTCCATCATCTGTTAACAAGCTACCCAAATATTTAAAACATTTCACATTCTCCAGTTGTTTTTGGTCTATCTTTATTGTGACTGGGGTTGGTTGTCTCGAAATTTTCATTACTTTTGTTTTTTCCACATTCATTTCCATGCCATAGCACCTTCCAGTTTCAATTAGTATATCAATCATGCCCTGTAGCACAGTTTCTTCCTTAGCCATTAACACAAGGTCATCTGCATATTTCACAGTTTGAATAATTTGCCCTCCTAATTTGAAGTGTCCGAGCCCATCCAGAGCTTCTTTGGTGAGGCATTCGCTGTACAAGTTGAAGACAATTGGTGATAAACAGCATCCTTGTCGAACTCCTCTTCCAATCTGCACACTTCTTGTCTCCCCACTGTCCAGTCGTACTCTAACTTTCTGATCCATGTACAGTTTGCTGATCAATCTTCTTTCACGCCAATCGATACCTGTTTCCTTTATGATCTGCATTAATTTGGTCCAGTTTACACGGTCAAATACCTTACCTGTACACAAACACAGAAAAACGCACACCAAACATCCATGCCCTGAGTGAGATTCGAACCCACGATCCCGGCTTCCGAGCGAGCGAAGACAGTGCTCGTACATGCCTTAGACCGCTCGGTTACCGTGACCGGCACGTAACATTGAATAGGTCCTTTAATTTATTACTATGTTGGTAATACTGTTGAGACTTTAAAGCCGAATTGTATGGTCCAGTGTTTAGCACGACTGAATTTCCAAGGTCCCAGCTTCAAGTCTCGGCCCCGAGAGCCGTTATCCTGATTTGAGGTTTTTTTTTTTTTTGGTGGTTTCCTCAGTCCCTTCAGGCAAATTCCGGGATAGTATCTCAAATATGCCACGACCACTTCCTTCCACATTATTTATAAAATATTATTTATTAATCACATTTCCATTGTATAGTCTGAATTGCAGTATCGCTAAAGAAACCATATCTACATGGAGCCGAGTCCTTGAGACTCCACCAGTTGCACAGCCACTCAAGAAATTTCCAGGTGATGGAACTCGAAGCTTCGCTACCGGGTTCAGAAGAGCTCACACCACTGTTCTTTGTCTCTTGTCGGACGAGTCTAGTCCGTACCCCCCCTCCCACTTATTTATATATATGATCCATTTTAATATTATCCCGTGTAGGGCTTCATAGTGATTTATTTCCTTCACGTTTCCCTATCAGAACACAATATTCTGTGCACTTATCTCCTACGCGTGCTACATTCTCTATTCACCTCATGCTCTTTGACTTTATCGTTCTAATTATACTTGTTGAGGAATACAAGTTATGAAACTCATGATCATTCAGTTTTCTCCAGCCTTTTATCATTCCATTCTTAATGGTTCCAGATGTTCTGCTCAGCACCCTCAATATATGTGCGGCACGCGGTACCACTGTGCTAGAAGTCGGAAGGTCGCAGGTTCGATTCCCGATGAGGTCATTGGATTTTTTTTTAAATTTACCTAATCCTTCCAGCCGCACTATGGCCCTGGAGTCGATTCATCTAACAGAAATGAGTATCAAGAATCTTCCTTGTGACAAAGCGCTGCCGGCGCATAAGGCTTTCAACCTTACCGCCATCTGTGAGCCGATTTTCTAGGAAATGTCACAGCCTCGACGTCTCACAACCCTATGGGCCTCCACGGCCTGTTACAGGGTTAGCTTTACTTTTTCTTTTTTTCCTTTACCCACAGTTTAGGTTCTTCCCTTAATGCGAGAGACCCTAAATAGACAAGAAAGAAAATAAAGAAAGAGGAATGTGTTTTATTTACTGTTGCTGGTTTCAGTTAGGGCCAGTGAAGACACACGTGCTCAAAGTGACGTAAGAAAGGAACAGTTTCACGTATCACCCAGCGATACGTGTGTCCGATTTGCCATGTACATTCCGACGTGTACAATGTCAGGAAACTCTACTCCCTTTTGAGGTGGGAGAACTGTTCAAATGAAACTCGTTAACGTGTTCGGTGTGGAGAAGATGCCGAAGACATGGTACAGTACTTTCAGCTGGAGTCCAGGAAATCCTCTGAGAATGCCATAGTATCTCGATTAGGTCACGACCGTTTCCTTCGAGATCTTTGCCAGTTCTTCATTCATCAGCCGTTCTCCCATCCGATGAGATATAGCCTTGACACCGAATAATTGTTAACCCACAGAAGGCCGCGCCATAGCTCAAGCGGTTAGTCGCAGGCTTCTCACCGTGGAGGCCCGGGTTCGATCCAGGGTCTGGTCAAGTGGGATTTGTGGTGGACAAAGTGGCGCTGAGGCAGGTTTTCTCCGAGTACTTCTGTTTCCCCTGCCAATCTTCATTCCACCAATTGCTCCACAATCACCCTCACCTATCATCTGGGGCTGGTACAATAGGCCAGAAGTGGCCGCAGTACAAGGGACTTACTCCCACCCCACTAAAAGTAAAAAAAATAACCCACTCAGGAGTAGTCGTGAAGGATTTGCCTCCACAAAGTGGGCACCAAGCAACTTTGTCTTCCTGCCACTGTCACATTGTTCCACGTGGTGACAAGGGTGTCTTCTTTCAGGCAATTATCTGAATGCATTTCCCAACCTAATTGTGAAAGCTGTGTGGCTTCACGTTCAGTTTTCGATTTCCTGTTTGTTGTCAAGCTGTTTGGCTTCTTCATTGGTTGATATGGTGAGGCGGCACATGTAGGCTAGCTGGTGGGTTGCAGGACTGGCTTCAGAAGTTTCAGAGTGAAAATACTGATGATAGAGTATAAGGTTTGAAGATTACAATCGTGTGGGATTTTACACCGTATGGAGTGGTTGTCAGGTGTCACCTTTCCGGAAGAACCGGCGACCTCCATCGTCAAGGTAGAAGAGTGACTGAGTTGGGAATAGAATTTATGAATTATATATTATTCCGTTTCGTACAATAAAGCAGAATGGCAATACCCTTATGCAACTGGTTCACCGTCTTACGTGAAACGCGTCCTTCTAAAACTTGTTTGGTAGACAGGTACCGACGTTTCGGAGAAACCTGTTGCCTAAATCTTAAAGATACAAAAATGTTACGCTTGGGTGACTGGTAGATGGATGCCGATGTTTCGGAGGTACCTGTCGTGTTCATTTTACGGGGTAAAAAGTGTGATGAGGTATAGTAAATACCGCCAATTTCAACATTAAAATCTCAACATGTTTGCCGCAGAATATGTTTATGTGACACATAAAATTAATGCAGTACTTGGTGTTTTCTGCATCTAACCACGGGCGTTTTGCTTAGAACTTCCTAATGCGGTCCCATTCGCATTTTGTCTTCTTTTGCGAGCGCTACAGTTCCTGAAGAACCTTGGCAGCTTTTACGATTGCTCGCCATTAGCCCTGCTACTGTGACTCTCGTCTCCAATTTCTAATGTCCATTGTCTTCAAATCTTCTTCAGCTAAATCCATCCACCTGACAGCAGGTCTGCCTACTCGTCGAGTACCCTCTGGTGTATGTAGAGTTAGCTTCCTGCAACGGTTCTGCAC